ATAAACATAAGGAAAATACAACTGTAGATATTATGTAGAAAAATATATTGTTCATATTTCAAATAATACCTTAAAGGTCTGTGTATAATTCTACATAGTTTACCTAGGTTATGAGTCTTAAAAAAAATAATATTTATCTTAAATAAACTTGTACAACAATAATCACCGTATTTCTTATATATTATTTTTTTTTTATTTTGCCCCCCAGTGGCACAGCGGTATGTCTGCGGACTTACAACGCTAGAATCCGGGTTTCGACACCCGTGGTGGGCAGAGCACAGGTAGCCCATTGTGTAGCTTTGGGCATAACTACATGTTCTAATTTTTTATTTTAAGATGATGACGTTTCGAGATAGCGCTCTTTTCGAAAGTCCATACAGGCTAATTCAATTAATTTAGAATCCAACTGAGAAGACGAATTATTGTTCTCTACTCTGTTTCTTACTATTACAATCTGCGATAAATTCACTTACGTTACCCCGCGGGTTACCACAGTTGCATCCAGAACTTGAAATAATTGTCTTCTTTTCGTCAAAGTCCACACATGCGGGTTCAGTTACTTTAAAACATCCTTTGACAAGACAAATTATTCTCCTTATCTCTGTTCAACTCACTTTAAAATATCGCCTGTTAGGGCTAAACTAACTATCACACACTTTAACTTCTCTTTCACTAACTTCACGTTTTCTAACTTGACTTTTCTTTTTTTTTGTTACGCTCACTTGGCGGCCTCGTACTTTCTGCGAACTATAGGGCGCTATGATGTAACAATACTACAACAATTGAACTACAACCACAACGTACGACTCTTATCGAGTTACGGAACAAAATATGTCCTAACTATCGCCTTTAAAATGATTACTTTACCATTCTTGTTATGAAAACTAAATAGTTATTAAATCATTAAATCAACTAAATAACAGTTATTAAGCTAAACAGCCTTATATATCCAGCACTATAGATCCTCATTCCCCCCTCTCCGGTGACACAGTAGTATGTCTGTAACTTACACCGCTAGAAACCGGGTTTCGATACCCGTTATGGGCAGAGTACAGATAGCCCTTTGTATAGATTTGTGCTTAACTATAACCAAAATATCCAAAGTTTTCCATATTTTGTTTCAATTTTAATTTCAATCTGTTTTATCTTTTCTTGACTTGTGATATTCATGTATAAGATGTAATTTTGCGGAGAAAATTCACGCTCAACGTTCAAAATACTATGCACGTAAGTTTTTATATTCTGCGCATGCGCCTTTTGTTTCAAGCTGTGCGATCTGACGAAGAGCGCTAGCTCGAAACTTCATCTCTTTTAAAATAGAAATATAAAAAAACTGTATATTTCTTTGAACAACAATAATGTCAAACTCAAAATGTGTACGTTTTTACGATAACATTATTGAGACTGCATCAACAGGTCTATTTACGATAATTGTGTAAACTGTTACAGTATTATCTACTCTAATTATGTAAATTGTTAAAATGATACTTTAGTTGGGTAAACTGCAACAGTATTGTTGCGTCAGCGAGGTCACGTGACTAGTGTCACGCCACCTTTCTAGAACTATCCCGTTCCTTCGGGAGTGCTCTAGCATTTACTAGATTGGGGGTGGCCTGGTATATATAAGAAGGTCATGGCGTAACGGAATAATGTGTGTGTAGGTAGTGAGTAATTGATCTGCAGTGGGAAAGTATTGTTGAAGTTAACGTTCGTTATAGCGTTTGTTTTAGCGCGAATGTTGAAATCAAGTGTATCGTGAAGTTATTTTCAGAAAGAATAAACCAGTTTTATTAAGTAAGGACTTGTGTCGCTAAAGTTCGTCGGAACGAAGTTAGGGAAAGTTAATTAACGAACGGAGACATAACAGTATTATCCATACTAATTGTTTAAACTACTTCGAAAATATATACATATACTGTTATGGTATGAACGCCTCTTCTGAGCTAGATAGATATGGCGGACATAGTGTGGTTGTAATACTATAGCACGCTCTTCTTTTTGAAAAATCCTATGTAGCTTAAAAACATAATAGGCCTACTTGTGATGCCTTATGATAAATATAATTGATTATATTAAGACATACATAGTATTAAAATGTTATAGTACTATCTACACGAATTGTTTAAAGGTTTACAATAATTACATATTATGATAATATCCACAACTAATATTGGACGTTGTTACATTAATACCCAAACAAGTTGTGTAAACATTTGCAATAATAAAAACTCTCTAAGTTGTTGCCATTATTTCTACACTAATTATATACATTGTTAAGATAATATTTCTATTTGTCTCTGTTCGTTTGTTAATTTCCCGTAAAACTTCTTTCCGAAGAACTTCAGCGATACAAGTTCTTTCTTAAATAAAACTAGTTTATTCTTTTTCAATACAACTTTGCCATAAACAGAATTTCCACAGTCACTTTAACTTCAACACACGCCATAATTTACAACGATTCACGCACTTTAATTAAAGTCACTACCGCTCAATTGACTCAATTATCTGTCTCTATATCCCTCTTCAATCTGCTATATATTATCTCCCCTTTATTTGCCGGGCTTTTATATAAAATAAGAGGACGTCTAGCAAACGCTGGGACATTCGTGAGGTTGCCCGATCCTTCTAGAAGCTCCAGCGCGCATGCTCCCATCGTCGCGTGACATCCGCTGTCGTAATACAATAGTATCCAAAGTGACTGTTTAAAGTGTTCAATGATAACTGCACTAATTATGTAAGTAATTGCAGTAGCAACTGGAGTGAATTCTTCACAATTTATAAGCTATGAACTAAAATATTTTATCGAAAAAAAAAGAGTTCATAAGGTCGTAGATTTACTTATAGAGTAAAATACGTACTTTTGTGAAGTTTCATTACGTAATTTGATGTATTAATAAATTGTTTCATATTATCAAAAATTACTCAATTTTGCCTGCATAATTTTCAATTAATGGTCAAATCATTCAAAGTTTTGAATTGTTCGTATGTGTTTAATTTATCTAATTAATACTGACCATTAATATTTAAATTTAGGACTATTAATAAGTTTTAAATGTTGTTGAGGAATCATGCCTTGAAGATCACAATTCTTTCATGGTATAACTTTATACCCAACTGCACTACTAGATGGCAGCACCAATGTATTTATATTTCTGTTTTTGTACGTCATTCATTCAACACTGATGATTTTTTTAATAATCCGAAGCTTCAACTTTTCCATCTTTTAACAGGTTGTTTTAGTTTTATGTCACTTTCGGCCACAATGCATATTTCCACATAACCGGAAGCAATATCCAACTCTTCTTGGAATGGTAGCGCTGGCAATAGCACTTCCGCCTCCGTCAGTGCACGAAGTACGTCTGGAGACTGGAATGTTTGTCACGAGGCTTTCGTTCGACTTTAAAATTGCTCACTGCGAACCAAGGTAGGCGTGTAAAGTACAATATTCATTGTTGTAAATTTCTGTCTAAAGAAAACCAATTGGTATAGTTCTGTTAACTACTTCAAAACCTCTTTGTATTATAACCATGAAATATGGATATATACTTTTCAGTAATACGACTTACCATGACTTATTTCAAATAGGATAAGAAAGAGCATTTGAATGATTTCAAAAACTTTTACCAGAAATCATTAATTGCTTCGGTTTTAATATCATTTGTCGAAACTATTCTGTTAAACGAAATTTATTTGTTTTTTGAACTAATACACTAGAGGAAAGGCATTTGCTCATGGGCTACGACCCCAAAGTGTGAAGCGTGTTTTTTGCAGTAATGGAACGTGGACGTTCAGCTCTTGGATTTATAGTCCGGGCTTAAACGAAATAAAATTGTTCTGCAAAATCTTAAAACTCTTACATGAAGTATGATTCGTAAGATTCGTAAGATTCAAGGTTCGAGCAGCGATATACTCTGTTGAAGACGCTACACATGTTCAGCTCTGCTATTCCGTTAAGAGTAGAAGGTGGGGGATGCTGACTTGTTGTCTTTTCCTCTCTGATCAGCCGTTATAAATTATGGATGGCTATTCCTGAACTTAGGGGTTTCTGATCTGGCCATTCAACTTATGTGTTACGTGAAACGTCATTCGGGTTTAAAGTACCAAATATGACGGGCAACCATAATTTTGCTCTTTCGTAATGATATTCAAGTTTTTAAAAAAATTACAACGGTCTAAAATAAGACGCCACTACGACCAGGGTTCAACAGAAAACTATAACAACACTTATAATAAAATTTAGCACTTACCAAAAACAGTTCATAAAAACGTGCTTGGCCAGGACTTGATACTAATGTTAATAAAAAATAAAACATAAATATCAATATTAATTATTTCAAATATTGGAGTCAGGAAAAAGAATCAAAAGAAGAAAAACTAATTAAAAACAAACAAACAAACACAATATTACAAAATCACTTTTCTATAATAATAACAATATTGAGTGAAAAACAGTAATAAGTCATTAACTATATTGTTCACTAACTATCTGTGACTCAGTTTATGAAGCTTGTGGCAAGGCAATTATTCACGAAAGTACATTTCATGTGATCATAACTTTACATAATATTTTACTGCATTAATAATATCTGTACGTCACCGCTAGGGAAGCTTGTGTCAGTTTCACAATACATACATATTTACTCAAAATAAACGTGACAAGCTAGAGGATGAGTGGTAAATTATTTATAACCGCTTCCTTTTCTTTTTTTTTTTTTTCTTTTTTTTTTTTTTGTCAAGTAGACTTTACGCACTTATTTAGAAATCTTCGTTTTGAGGTCTTAATGAAAAATGCATTAATTGTTCCAGGATAACAGACATTTTAGACTTTGCAGCCGATGAGTTGGTTGGTAGAAACATGTATTCACTTTGTCATGGACAGGATGTTCAGCAGCTCCGCAAGTGCCATGAGGATTGTACGTAATTTTCAAGATTTAGAAATTTTTATAAACGATTTATAAGCGAACGCTATCAGTACTAGTATAACAACGTTGCTTTCTCTCCATATTTATAATCTTCTTATCCTGAATTCGTTATGAGTATTTGTATATAATATATTAATTGCTGTTTTAAGCATAAATTTTGGTTATGAAAATAAACTAACAATAAGTTCTTTATATACTCATTCACTTGACAGTAATTCACAAGGGACAGGTGATGAGTGGCTACTACCGTCTACTGAATAAGAACGGTGGCTTTACGTGGTTACAAACGTGTGCTACTGTCATCTGTAACAACAAAAACGCGGAGGAAGAAACCATTATTTGTGTGAATTACGTTCTGAGGTTAGTTGAAGTTATTTTGCTTTTTTCTTTCTTACATGTTTTGCCACTCTATCGTTATGCTTCGACTTACCCAGTTTATAGCTAGATTAAGATATACTTGTTCACACTGCATAACATCATCGTATATCATTTTTATTTATTTTAGTGCATGATATCACTTACAATAATGGTTAATAGAGTTAAGTTTACCTCCTACTGTGTATACAGTATCAAAACTGTGTAATAATAGTCGATGTAGTTAAGATTGTTTCCTCTTCCTAGAGTGCTTTATAGTATGTAAGAATGTTGATGTAACTGTTATTGTTTCCTTACTTACAGTGGTATACAGCATGAAAACTGTGTAATGGACTCTAATCAGCTGACTCACTCTACAGACCTTCAACCTGACGACTCCAGCTGCTCTGAAAGAGACTCACCTGATAAAGATCATCTAGGTAGAGCGTAGTTTAACTCTACGTCGAAAAAAACTTAACTCTGTTTAACTTTAGGTTCAGATGTTCCCTCTTTTTAATTAACTACAGAAGAGAACATTTTAGTAATGACTTGCGTGAAACATGTTCACTATGTGGGAAATTATAGAATTTCGGAACTGTTGATTTACAATTATTTTGATAAATGCAATATCACGACCTGCTGGTAAGTATATGTAAAGTAAATTATTTCTTGAGTTAATAACGCCGATAGCCTCGTCTCTCTTTGTTGAAAGTAGTTGTAGCCTTAGAACCTGCAACTGGTGCAGTACCGATAAGAAAATTAGGAACATATTTCAAGTGGATAGTTTTCAGTTTCTAAATAATTAGATAGATCAGTGCTTTGATTCAAAAGATATGTATGATGATTAACGATACGAATTCTTTTTCTACCTACTTAAAAGTTCTACTTAAATATCTTTTAATTAGTAATGCGAACTTTTTCTATAAAGCTTTATTTTCTGAGGTATTAATTGATAACTATTTTTGCCTCTTCACACTACTTTTCATCTTTATGTGTGAACAACCATTGTTTTTTTTTAAGTCAAATATTAATAAAAAAAAAACACTACAGACGGTGAGTCCTCGAAGGATTGTGATCCTCAACATTCCTCGTCTAGAGATGGACATTCATCGGTAGATGGTGATATCAATAACCAAGATCATGTGAATCAACTGAATTCTGGAAACAAACATTCCGACAGTCATCGACCTGTTGGAGTAAGGGTTACTTATTTGTTTACTGAATACTGTGAAGCTTGATGTAACTCAGTCATCAGTAAATATCGTAGCAGCTGCTATGACAAAATACTAGGCTGACATAAGATGCTACAGTGATTCGTAGAATTTGCTATAACGTAACGTATGAGACTGAAAATATTGTTACATATTGTGACAGATGACATAATGCTACATTAGAGTAACAGAAAAGACTACAGCATACTGTAGCATCTGCCTAATATAATATCAGGTGAACAGAACATACTAATACGTTCCGTAGCAGCAGATACAATTAATAATATGTTGAAAAAACAGTGTTAAACACCATATATAAATAATGTTGCCCGAATATATTGATACACAGTGTAGCATCTGATACGTATCAGTGTTATTCTATAACAAATCATAATGATAAATACTGTATCAACAGCTATAAATCAGTTTTTTCTTCACAAATCTTAGTATAAAATGCAGAACCCAGTTTCAAATACCTTAGGAGCTGCAGTAACACAATATTGTTGACAAAACTTAAAACTGCTGCATATCTTAGGTGCTGCCATAACACAATATTGTTGACAGAGCTTAAAACTTCTGCATACCTTAGGAGCTGCCGTAACACAATATTGTTGACAGAACTTAAAACTGCTGCATATCTTAGGAGCTGCCGTAAAACAATATTGTTGACAGAGCTTAAAACTTCTGCATACCAGAGCTGCCGTAACACAATATTGTTGACAAAACTTAAAACTGCTGCATATCTTAGGAGCTGCCGTAACACAATATTGTTGACAGAACTTAAAACTGCTGCATACCTTAGGAGTTGCCATAACACAATAGTGTTGACAGAGCTTAAAACTTCTGCATACCTTAGGAGTTGCCATAACACAATATTGTTGACAGAACGTAAAACTGCTGCATACCTTAGGAGTTGCCATAACACAATATTGTTGACAGAACGTAAAACTGCTGCATACCTTAGGAGCTGCCGTAACACAATTTTGTTGACAGAACTTGAAACTGCTGCATATCTTAGGAGCTGCCGTAACACAATATTGTTGATAGAACTTAAAAATTCTGCATACCCTAGGAGCTGCCGTAACACAATATTGTTGACAAAACTTAAAACTGCTGCATATCTTAGGAGCTGCCGTAACACAATATTGTTGACAGAACTTAAAACTGCTGCATATTTTAGCAGCAGCTATGAAGCATGCAACATTGTGTATGTACTGTAGCGCTTGACATAAGACTAAATTCTGTTAATAGAACATACCAGTAAGTGCCGTAGTAGCTTACATAGAATAATAACATGTTGTTACCACGTTCAACAAACGTTCTTAACAGCGTCTGTAAGGAAAGACTGTGTTGTCAGAAATATGGGAATATAGACTAAAGCAAGACCTTATAGAACAAGTGTTATCTCAAAAGAACTGTTCCTGAATTGCCCTATAACTTTATTAACATTGTATGATGCAATAAAAAGTAATTCATGCCATACTGATAATTATAGACGTATTTTGTATAACAAAACTTTAAATGTAAGATATTGTAAAGGAAAATTTATAATACGGAATGGATTAAACATTGAGGTATTTTTTATGTTTTTTTAAAGATCTCAAAATAATAACAATTGTTTTTTGCTATTAGAGAAGAACTTCATACGAACAAAAATACCTATTGATTACATGTAAATGAATTCAAATGTTTTAGTTTCATTAAAATAACTTGTTTTCAGTGTGTAATAAATTCATAAAATGTTGGATATCAGCTGAACTAAGACTATTTTTTAACAGAAAAAGTGTTCACTGGGTGAACGACAACCCCAGGAGCTCAGAATAGACGACAGTCATCTAAATCTAACAATGGAATCATCCAGCTTCCCGAAAGAAGAGCAGCTGGTATCTATCGAATCTCCATCTGATCAATCGGTACTCCAGAATAAACCTCGTAAAAGAAAGTTTTCGGGAGATTCGACCTCCCATTCTGCTCAAAGCGAGCCTTCCAGGTCCCGTCCTGGAAGTTCATCTAGTCTACGTAGTACAAGTCCGCTCTCGAATGGAAGTTTCTTATCTAATGATGCTAATAGCACAACTTTCAGTCCTGATAGGTCGGTGCCGCCATCTGTAGATGAAGGAGTCAGTCCAAGAATTTACATTAAAGGTAAGGAACCAGTTGAACATTTTGAAAGAGTTCAACGACCATGGAAACGATCGTCAATTCTCCCAGGTTGCGCTTATTCGACAACAAATAGTTCATCCTCTATGTCAGTTAAAGAGTTAGAAGACGTTATGAACAAACATTTACCAAATTCTCAAATGCCTGGGATAGCCGGAACTGTGGCTCCCCATCATGACAGCCCGACTCAAGACATGATGACAACACGTATGACCCAGTCTCCACAATCGCATCAACAGTGTAAATCGACGATTCAATGGATCGGTGGATCTCAAACGACCTTGCCAGCCACCACATTACTCAGACAGCTCTACGTAAATAGAGAATCAGTAATTCGTTCTGGGACTCACGTCAGTAGGCCGTCTTGTTACGGTGAGATTCAGGGGGCTCTCCCCACACCACCAGGGAGCAGTAGTGATGGTGGCTACAATGATCAATCTCAGTTTATTTTACCTTCAAAGATAAGAACTGAATCTTACGGCGTCCTTCCCGGCTATACAAACACACCGGTTAGTGTCAGTAATTACATAGACACGTACAGTGCCATGACCCCACCAGCTTCTGTGTCCCCACGAGATAAGTTCCCTGGGGTTACGGAGGGCCAGGCATTTAATGATGCAGCTAACCTGTCTCACATGAGACACTATGTCTCCGAGGGTCCACTTCAACACCTACCCTTAAAACCTCAGGTGTTTGTCCATCCTGGGAATATCGATCATTCGGCGTACAGCCACCCCAATGCTCAACAATCCCTGTCTCACGAGCAGCGCCAACTCTACACTCATCATTCTAGTAGTTTTCATGTGTACCATTCCTCTGGTGTGGGGAAGCCTACACACCCGAACTCAACTGCCTGGTACTCCCAACCTGGCTCTTAGTTAATAACTAGCTGATATACATATCTTAATATGAACTTGTTGAATTAGCATAGGTAGCCAATCAGCGCTTCTGATCATCAAGGCTAGAGTAAGCCAATCACCGTATCAGAATTTCGACCACGACTGGCACACCTTGTCAAGATAACTATCGCCGTTCTCTTTGTGTGCGTAAGTTGTTGGAAGACAATATTCAGTCAGCGTCAGAGAAGATTTAGTTTTTTAGACTGAGATTTATTTATCATTATTAACATGCACAACATGTTTCCTAATAACGTTCCATATTTGTTTTACCTGTGATGATGAACGTATATGAATTGACTATGTGATTGTTCAAGTACAACAAAATGTTTCAAGTGCGTCATGAAAAACATCAAACTTCTTGTAAAATATAGAGGGTTTTAGTGCGTGAATTTGGCGTATTCATTCCTGTATAACGTAACTCTATAGACGAATTTAGTGCATGAGTGACATTGAATCTGTTGCAAGCTACCATCTAAATACGATATTACCAAGCTTATAATGGCTTTAACTGTTTTGGGGGCCAATGTTCTGTAGTTTTGAGTTTTTCCGTTTCTTTTTCTTTTCCATGAACAAAGTATGCGCTATTTACAGACAATCTTAGTGACTCGATTTTTGTAGTTTTATACAGGTGTTTAGTGACTTGATTTCTGTAGTTTTATACAGGTGTTTAGTGACTTGATTTTTGTAGTTTTATACAGGTGTTTAGTGACTTGATTTCTATAGTTTTATACAGGTATTTTCTTTCTTTCAAACAAAAGAATGTGAGTGAGTTGATTAATTAGTTCTTGTAAATGTAATCAGGCATGTCGAGGTGCAAAAATGCTTTTTAATTTTATGATTTTCGTCATACAAGAGTTCTATGTTGTTGGCATTTCGTCATGTTATGATTTTTTAAATGAAATTTAATTCTACCATAAGGTTCCAAATGTTACTTTCAGATTCATCATGAAATTCACTAATTTGGTTAAATTGAATCACGTTCATTTTTGTCATGCTACGTAATCTGTGTGTGAGGTTCCTCTTTGTTACGTCACGTGATTCTTCTGTTAAGTTCAATTTCACCATGTGATTTTGGTAATGAAAACTCCTTTCGCACTTTTGCACCACCACATGTACCATTACTAACAGCTCCTACCTCACAATGCCAGAAGTGCTCTTTACTTTAGCTAAACCTTATCTTATATTGAATACTGTACTCCATTCTCTTTCAATACTCTTCACCAGAGATCTGTAAGTAATACGGTTTCACATTGTTTCGTCATGTGCTTGAAAGCAGTAAAAATTGAAGTTTCTTTTAAAATTCTATGTTTTTCAAAGTTTTACTAAATGTGAATAGTCATTTATCATTTAATTTTGGGCGTGAGGTTCTAAACTTTTTTAAAATAATATCAAACAGAATGCACTTTAAAAGAAACAATTCAATTCAACATATCACCGATTTTTTTTTTTTTTTCCTTACGCTCACCTACAATTTTGCGCTTTATGTTTGGATTTACTTTGTAAGATTAATACACACAGCCAAGAAGTATAGGACTCACATTGTTTTGGCTTGCTTTATTGTGAGTATTTGGAAGGACTCGAATTGTTTTGGCTTACTTTATTATAACTATTTGGAAGGACTAGCATTGTTTTGGCTTGCTTTATTGTAAGTATTTGGAAGGACTCGAATTGTTTTGGCTTGCTTTATTGTAAGTATTTGGAAGGACTCGCATTGTTTTGGCTTACTTTATTGTAAGTATTTGGAAGGACTCGAATTGTTTTGGCTTACTTTATTATAACTATTTGAAAGGATTCGCATTGTTTTGGCTTGCTTTATTGTAAGTATTTGGAAGGATTCGCATTGTTTTGGCTTGCTTTATTGTAAGTATTGGGAAGGATTCGCATTGTTTTGGCTTGCTTTATTGTAAGTATTTGGAAGAACTCGAATTGTTTTGGCTTACTTTATTATAACTATTTGGAAGGACTAGCATTGTTTTGGCTTGCTTTATTGTAAGTATTTGGAAGGACTCGCATTGTTTTGGCTTGCTTTATTGTAAGTATTTGGAAGACTCGAATTGTTTTGGCTTACTTTATTATAACTATTTAGAAGGACTAGCATTGTTTTGGCTTGCTTTATTGTAAGTATTTGGAAGGATTCGCATTGTTTTGGCTTGCTTTATTGTAAGTATTTGGAAGGATTCGTATTGTTTTGGCTTGCTTTACTGAAAGTATTTGGAAGGATTCGCATTGCTTTGGCTTACTTTTATGTAAGTATTTGGAAGGGTTCGCATTGTTTTGGCTTGCTTTATTGTAAGTATTGGGAAGGACTCGTATTGTTTTGGCTTGCTTTACTGAAAGTATTTGGAAGGACTTGCATTGTTTTGGCTTGCTTTATTGTAAGTATTGGGAAGGACTCGCATTGTTTTGGCTTGCTTTATTGTTTTGTCAGTAAAGAAATAAGAAAAAGATAGTAAAGTAGGGATATAGAAGAACCCGAAATGTGCGCTTCTTAGCCAGTTCCATGATTATAATATAATGAAAACCGTGTTTTGTACCGGTGATGTTAAGAATGTGTCTAGAACAGGTATAATCTCTATTGTGGATGTTGTTGTTTGCTTTAAAATGGATCGTGGCATATACATTTATTTAGAGGATTTGATTTCTCCATGAAATTGAGAAAAAAATATTTATATGTATTTGAATATTTTTTTCCACACATGATTTGTGTTTTGTTATGTTTTTGAAATATACAGGGATATATAATGTCTTCTTTATATAAGACGACATCAAAATGTTAGGTCTAGACGCTTCGCAGGATATCTACGTTCTGCATCCAGTTTTAAGGAATAGGAAATAATTTGTTAGGAATGGGTTTCTCTATCTCTGTACTGGAATTATACGTTTATGATGTTCCTTTGATATAATTTTGAGTAGCAATTACAGTCATTTTGTAATTCTAAAGTCCTTTTAGGAAATTCATAGAGTGTGTTGGAACAGTGTCTACTGAGATTTTAAAGTGCTTCTTTTATAACTTAGATTTAACCGTTTTCATAAGATGTTAGAAAGTATATATCATATCAATATCAGAATGACTGAATCTGTAAATTATCCAGGTGTATAGGTTATCAGGTGTATAAAATTATCCAGGTGTATAGGTTATCAGGTGTATAAAATTATCCAAGTATATAGGTTATCTATTCCTACTTTTTGTTTATTTATTGTCTTTCAAATCCTTTGACTCAAAATGATTGATATTGTAACTTTATTATTATATAAACAAATAATGCTTTATAGAATATAGTATATTTTATGTTTTTTAACTATTTTATCTAATAGGCGTATAATAAAGGATTGAATTACTATTTTGATATCCAACAAGTTACCAATACTTTTTCAGCGTTATTTAATGTGAATTTTGTAGTTTACCAACTGAATGAACTTCATCCATAAAATATTACTTATACACGTACTCTCACCTTACTTTGCTATAAACAGCGTAAGGCTTTGAAATACACAGAAATATTTTGAACATTTTCCTCATTGCAACTAACTTGTAAGAAAACTTTTATCGCATTACACCGAAAATATTTTATTCTCTACAAGATTGAGGACCTTCTAGGAAGAGAATAGTTGATGTCATTGTGTTTATATTCAATGTTATCTCGAATATTTGACTCATAACTTTCAAGTTATTAAAAGCTGATTTGAGTCTGATCTTGCTAGCTGTTTGTATACATTAAGTGGGGATAAGCTAGAAAACATCAATCACTTTATCGAATAAACTATGTAGGTAGAAAATAAAAACAACAAGTTCGTAGATATTCGTAGAGACAAAATACAAGCGATTACCTCGGTAGCAACTCTAAGACATAAATTTATAAAGAAATATAAAATATCATATGGGAAGGAAATCAAAGGATATAAAAGTTCGTAATGCATTGTAAGCATTCTGAAGACAACGTTCTAATCAGTCAATACTGTTCTTTCAGCAATATCACAGACTACAGCTCAATAATGCAATGCATACACAACACATGTTATGGCATGAACGCTTTTTTCAAGCTGGCGAAGCATGATTGTAATTAATTATACTTGTCATAAAACATTATATATTTTAACACTGCATTCTCCTATTATATTTTTTAACTCTGCATTCTGATTTTTGATGAGATGAATAATTAATTATAATCGTGAATATCTGATGACAACTATAATTGATTATAATCATGCTTCACCAGATTGGAAAAGTTCACAACATAACAATTCTAGTTGTACCAAATGACTTATATAAATAGCCGGCGTAATGAGGTCTGGATTGAGCGAAACGCATCGTTGGTAATGGATATGGCGAACATAGTGTGGTGGAATACTATTAATTACACTCTTCTAATTCTTAAAAATCCCTATGGGACTAGATAAAGAATGCAGTACTAGGTCTAATACTAATGTCTTATAACAAGTATATTTAATCATACACAACAACATATGGTTTGTAAGTGAAGAATTTTAAGTCAATTTACTATAAATACAACACTTTTTCATAGCGTGGGGCGTTCCTGTGATTAATCTCATTTAACCTAGATTTCAGATAAAAAGCCTACTATAAACATGACATTATTTATAATCCACAGCATTCCAGAGATTAACGCTTATAAACTCAAACTTTGTACTCCAAACAAAATATGATTGGTCTAAAATGTTACTTTTCCTTAGAACTTTTCATGTAAAGCTTTTTTTTTTAAAAAGTGCCTTTCATACTGAGTAATTTATCTTCATGCACTTTTTTTTACACATTACACTAGTCTATTACGATATGACACTAGTAATGGAGTAAGATTTTTATACTGTGTGGATAATGTTACTTGTTATAAAGAACGAAGTCGAATAATTCAGGAGCACTTCTTTTCATATTTATTTCAAAACGTAGTTGATGAAATCTTATCAGCTAATTGGTTTCAGTGGTTCAGTTATTTCTTGTTAATAACCACGATCTTGAAAGA